TTTCTATTAGTAAAATGCAGGGTTTAACCTCTCTCTTAGCAGGAATTCAAATGTGAACAAAGAGGCAAGAATCCGTATACATAAAGGAGCAGGTTTATGTGACATAAAAATACCAACGTAACACAACTAAAGAGAACAAAAAAGAGAAATGAGGCTGGGTGTGGCGGTGGACTCTTGCAATCCTAGCACTCAGAGGAAGGAGGCAGGAAGATCTCAAGTTCAGGAACACTGGGAGCTTCTCAGAAGGAAGAAAAGAAAAAACATCACAAAAACACGGTTGGCTGGCTTCTGATAGATTCCAAAATCAAAATATCCTCATAAATACTGCACACTGTCAAACCAGAATCATGTCTTCAGGAACTCACTCATAACTCCTCCTTTATTCAAAGAAATATAGCAGGGGCTGGAGAGACGCTCGACAGTTAGGAGTATGGGCTGCTCTTCTAGAGGAACAGAAGATCATGGTAGCTCTCAACCATCTGTAATTCAAGTTCAGGGGATCCAACAACCTGTTCTGCCTTCCGTGGACACAAGGCACACATGCGGTGCACAGATGTACATGCATGCATACATATATAGAGAAGAACATCTATACACATAACAAAGAAGTGTGGCTCACCAAATCAAAGACATGAAAACTTAAACTAGAAAAACAAAGCAGTGTATTGACACAAGATACTGCATCCATAAACCAGGTACACATGCCATAAACTGTAAACAAGTAGCCTATGAAATACGAAAAATTATGGAAAATAAAGGATTAGTGGTGTTTTACAACATAAGGGGACTTTCAAAAAGATGAAAGGGGAAAAAAAAAAGTAGGAGGAAGAGAAGCATAGGGGATGGTAGGAAAATTAGATGAAAAATGAGGAAAGGGGAAATGAAGATCTCCCAAACCTACAACCAAACCCTCCAACAAATATCTGGTAGAATAAATGAAGAAGAGGTAGAAAGAACAGCAGGGATAAAGCAGAGATCCTCAAACTTCCTGAGAATGAGACGGGAATGGGCAGAATCATACTGGCAGCTGACTGACTATTCTCAGAAACCAAAGTCACCGAATCAATGCTTCCAATTTCAGAAAACATTGCTTATGACTCTGTGCTTATCAAAAAGCAAGAAATAGCTCTAGCTGAGTGGGTGTGGTGGTATACACCTTTAACCTTAAATCCCAGCACAGAGAGATAGAGCTTGGTGCGTTACAGATCTGCTTGGTCCACATAGTGAGACCCTGTCTCGAGGGAAAAAAAATAAAGGCTGTGATGAAATGAGAGAAAAACGAGGGGAGAAGCATAGGATGCAGAATACAAAACCCAAAGTAACAGGCAAAAAGAACCCCAAAGATCATTCGTCCAAGAAATCAAACAAAGAGGGGGCAACAAATACCAAGAACTCTCTCCTTAGCACCTAGGAATCAAGTATAAATCAAAATTAAAAATCAAAGGCTATGTAAAATTTGAAAGTCAACAGTATTCAGTTTAACAATTATAAGATGTGGTCTGCTATAGCAAACATACTTAGCAAAGCCAAAATGAGAGAAAAACTAAAATTATACTGGAAAAGGAACAAAAATAAATAAAAGGAATTAAAGAATTTTGAGAAAATATGAACAAAATGTAATTATCACATTTAAAATTCATAACAACTGAGAGGGGTATGTTTACGTAGCAAGGCAGCAGAGCTCTATTTGCCATATATAAAACCCTGAGAAGAAACAGAAACAAATGGAATTCCTACCAATTCGATTTTACTAAATACACAAGAATGAAACTTTAAAACTTTATTTTCCTAAAAAGAAATATTCATCTATTCTACATGGGAAGTAGAAAAAGACAGGATCTCCTGAGTAAATAGGGAGCATGGGATCAGGGAAGAGGGCAGAAGGAGAGAAAAGAGGAAAGGTGGGGAGCAGAGAACAATATATAGCTCAAATAAAAAAAATTTTAAAAAGAAACATTCATTTCGATCATTTTTCCATTTATTAACATTAAGCTATAAAATAATCTATAAATCTTTTAAATAAATCATGTGTCTTGCTTATTTTCCTCAACTGATCTATTTTTCAAAGAAAAAGGCAATTCAGATGGCAAGAGAAGCATTCACTACCTGTAATAATTTTGTAGCCTCTTGCTCTCTTCTTTAGGTAGGCCCAATATGGAAGAATAACTTCCTGTAGAAATACCACATCTGGACTGTACCTAATTAAAAAGATCAATATAACAAAAACACGAGGATATTATTTATTTTCAGTTACCTAGAAAAATCACAAAACATATAAGCAACTGTTACCCTACATGACCCCTAGTACTCAATGTTATACTGACCTTTATCTGTGTTATTTAAAACACAATACCATAGTGACCGATTAAAAATGGGCTGGATGTGTAGTTCAGGGACAGAGCACCTGCCTAACAAGGCTGAGTTCAATTCCAGCACCCCTCTACATATCACCCCGGTGGAATTAAAATGGAAAGCATTATATACACTACACTGAGAGTTTTCAATGATCATATACATCAACACAAGTATTCAATGTTCCCTCTTCAGATTCTCTTAAAAAGCTGTGCAGTGAGAACTTCAGTGCTTTACCAAGGCCAGAAACAGATAGTAAGGGCACCTTTCATTTCATATCAGTAATTATAGACAAAACTTACTATGTAAAGCTCACAACTCTAGAACGCATCTAACATAAATTGGTGTTCCAATCCACCCCAACTCTCAGGTATTTATTCAAATTTTCAAGTACACAAATTTCAAGAGTTGCTTTGTAGAGCCATTAACACACTGATCACAGTCACTACCACAGAAGTGACAATACTTACAAAGCTAGGGAGGAACACACCCCTCGAGCCCTCTCCGGCAAATTGTTTCTATCTAATCCATCAATATTCCAGGTAATGAAAGAGATAGTGCTGCTGTCTTCTAGAGGAGTTCCAGATGGACTGGTTTCTAAAATGGTGGTATCATCTGAATCCTCGCTGGTTAGATCAACACTGGAAAGATCAAAATAAAGGTTTTTTTTTAAAAAAAAACCTACAAATTACGAGTTGTTGTATTTAGGGGCTATGGCAGTAACTCAGCTGGCACCCCCACTCACATTAAACACTAGAAGTTGTGGCATGCTTATAAAGTCAACGCCAGGAGGCTGAGAACAGATACCTGAGACCTGGTTTACCCTAAAGGATGAGTCCATGGTCCCAGTGGGAGACTGTCTTAAGAAACAAGGAGCACTACTCCTGAAGAACCCAAATCTGACTTCTGGCTTCCAACGCGCCCTCTCAACATGAATCTTGCTGTATCTGTTGCCCTCAATTTGAAGAAACAGACTGATCATTCCTAATTAGAAAATCCATATTCTAAATTACCTCGGCTCAGATATTGGCCCCAAGCACTTCAGATAATGGATACTTATCCTATAACTAATTTTCTTTGGCAAATCCTAAGAGTCTATAGAAAATACACAGTTGGGCTGGAGATGGAGCTAAGTGGGTAAAGGTGCTTGCTGTCAGCCTAGTGGCCCGAGTTCAACCTCCAGAACCCACATGATGGGGACAACTGCAAGTTGTCTCTGCCTCCATGTGCTGGCATGTGTGTCTGTCCCTAGAGGGAACAATTTCTTCCAGAGTGAGTTGTTTCAAAAGCTTGACCGTGATTACTTTGGCTTCTTGTTTCATGATGATCCACCTACAAGCATACTAACCATCCATCTGCGCATGGCCTCAAGGAACAGCTTTCTTCAAAGCAGTCAGCTTTAAGAACTTGGATAACTTTTGATTCTTACAACAGTTATCTACTTTTAAAACTGAAGAGCAATAAAAAAGAATCCCTATCTAACTATGCACCCAAATTCTCTAAATGAGAACATTTTCTTTGTAACAATTACTTACCTTGGTTTCTTTCCAAACCACTTACTTCCATCCTTCCCTAGAAACTTGCTTATATACACCCCCTACAACCTATGAACATTACCACCAATATATCATCTTTTAATATCTTTTAACTGGAACATTTTTTTAGTCTCTCTCATGAGTGACATTTTTGAGGATTGCAGGCCACTTGTCCTATAGAACATCCTCCAGTTAAGCCTGATATTGTCTTACAACTGTATAAAGGTTATGCACTGTGAGGCAGGAATGAAGCATAGTCGTGTGTCCCAATGCATAATTAAGGTGTTAATCAAATTTCCCCACTGCAAAGTACTGATCCTCCCCACTTTCTACTCAGTATTTTGTGGGTTTTGACTCTGTGAGCATCTTTTTTAAATTCTACTTTCATCCCCATTTTATTATCCACTGATTGTACATATGTGGAAGTCATTCTGTAGTTCTCAAAGGCTTTTTGTAACTCCTCAAACCTTGGCCATTTAGCAGTTTGAATTCTACAATAGTCATTTGTCTTATCAACAGCTGGACTTACTTAAATATGGACTCCTATTTTATTGTGCAGACTACAACTTGTTTCTAATCACCCTACTGTTCATTCTCTCTGCTTTTACATTGGTTCCTATGTTTTTCTGGGATATTTCCAATGTTTTCTGGGTACGCCCTTACTTTTTAGCACTGTAGATTATTCCAAGTTCATCCTCTACCTCACTTACCCCTGCTCTAGAATCAGTCATCTTCTCCTTTTTTAGTGAAGAATAATTAGAGGCCTAGGTCTTGGTGCCAGGATAATTCAATGCCAATATAAACAGTAACAACAGCCTCTTTGAGACAGGGTCTCACAATGTATACCTGCTGACTTCAAAATTAATAAGCCTCCTTCAACATCTGAGTACATGCCCAGGCTATACCCTAGGAGTCACCATGTAGCCCAAGCTAGTCTCAAACCCTTGGCAATCCTAATCCTGCCTCAGCTTCCCAAGTAGCATATACTATCACATCCAGATTGAATCACCTTCTGTGTTGCAAGGAACTGCATACTTGTTTTGGCTGCCCAGAACCAAAATAATGACACAGAAATTCCAATAATTAAATCACTGCTTCGCACATTAGCTCTAACTTCTTATTGGCTAATGCTTACATATGAATTTAACCCATCTCCATTAATCGTGTATCACCATGAGGTAGTGGCCTACCTGGAAAGTTTCAACAGGTCTGTCTCCGACTGAGGATCCATGGCGTCTCTCCAACTTTGCCCTTCTTTCTCCCAGCATTCAGTCCAGTCCTCCCCGCCTACCTTAGTTCTTCCCTATCAACGGGCCAAGGCAGTTTCGTTATTCATTAACCAAGAAAATCAACACACAGACAGAAGGACCTCCAACACCATTTTCCCATTTCCCTAAGTTTTGGTCTATCAACAGACCAAGGCAGTTTCTTTATTCATTAAACACGAAAAGCAACACACAGACAGAAAGACCTCCCACACCACTTCTGTATTCACAAAAATAATTTTAATTAGTTAATTAATTTGATTTTGGATTTTTGAGACAGGGTTTCTCTGTGTACTAGTTCTAACTTTCCAGAAACCTAATTCTGGAGACCAGGTTGGCCTTAAACTCACAGAGATATGTATGCCTTGTCCGGTCAAAAATAATTTTAAAGAGCACCAAAAACTGTGTTTAATGCCAGATTCCACTTGGAGTTTTACCAATCTGAAAAGGCTTTCTCACTCAACATTCAATACTACACTTTTTCTGTAGCCTTGCCAAAAAGAAAGGGCTAGGTCATTTCAGAACCTTGTCAAAGATGTTGGGCCCCCCATTTCTATTGAAAATATGCGACTGAATAGATGGCTCAGTACTTAGGAACAATTGTTCTTGCAGAGGGCTTGGGTTCAGTTCCTAGAACTGTGTTGCTTTTAACTATCTATCGCTTTACTTTATTAATAAAGACTCAGGAGCCAGATGCTGGGGTAAAAACCTGCTAGCTCAGAGAAACAGAGAAAGCACCCAGATGTTTCCTCCCAGTCTTCCCAGACTTTCTCTTATGCCATCTGAGAGAAAAAAAAAAGTAACTCCTCCAACAAGAGTACCCCAATTTCTGCTTCCTCACTACCTCCTGACTTCCTCCCACTGGCTTTTTCCTGCCTCTCAACCCATGGTTGATTTTATTTAACCCTTTTTTAACGTTCAAGCAGAAAAATCTCTTGGACTAAAGGTGTGTGCCAGGGCTAAGCCACATCACAGCTAAAAACAAGTTCTTCCAGTAAACAAAGAAATCTCAGGGGTCATAGTGTGATCAAATATCCTACAACACAACTGTAATCAAGGGTGACTCATAACTGTCTATAACTCAGTTTCAAGGTTTCAGATGGCCTCTTTTGGCCCCTGTGGGCACCTGAATAAAACCAAGCTTGTTCAGTGTGCACATGCGCGTGCACACACACCCCTTTAAAAACAAAAGCATTAAAAGCAGGATCACACATGTGTCATTTCTTTCATAAGCTGCACTTCAAAATTCAAACAGTATGCTGTCTGTTCTTCCGTTTTACTGTAACAGTTTCGAGCCTACAATTTATGCAGCATCTATAACATATTAAGGGAAAACTAGAGAAATTAATTCCATTCCAAAAATGAAACACAAAAAGGAAAAAGAAACGCTAAATGTGATGCTAAATTAAAAACCTTTAAGTATCTGAAAGGCCTAGTCAGCCTTACAGGCATCATTTGTTGACCTCTTCAACACAGGAATAAATGTATCTGTCAGTGATACCTTGGGCTCTATGCTCTAATTCAGGGCTCCTCAACTTTAAACCACCTGGGATCTTGACAAAAAGCAGATTCAGATTCAATGGGTCTAGTATTGGAGTCTAAATCTGCATGTCCACCAGAATCCCAAATGGTATAAGCTCATTCAGGGTCCACATTCTAAGTACCAAGGCTATAGGATACAACCTTTTACTCCTAACTCTTTAGATCTTTTCAAGACAGAAAAGGTTTGAATACGGCACAGGTGTCAAAAGTATCAGCCACACAAGTCTGACAGGCAATTTAAGAAATCCTCCCTCCTCTACCAGGAGTGCTAATGCAATCAAGTCTCCAGAGGCACTCGGATCATGAAAGGATTCCATGACCTCCGGTGTCCCCAGATCAATCAACGAAACCAAGTCTCCAAATGCATCAAGGTACCTCAAAACTGAGAACCAGAACAGTGCACCCTGGACTCCAGATTCCCTTAAGTTCCTCAGTAAATTCTGGTTGTAATGGTTCCCAAGTCCCTATTGCGTCTTCAGATAAATGTGACCAGCAAGTTCGCCCTGAAGCTCCAAGGAAGCAAGAGAAAGAATGCACCACATACTCCGAGAAACAAAAGGCTCTCCTCCAAAGACATTTTGATCAGGCCATGTAACCAAGCCTGAAGGAACGTGTGGAGCTGGCACTGATGATTCGTGTGACTGGGTGATCAAGATCTGGTTCAAGAACCAGCGTGCTAAGCACAAACAGGAGAATCTGTGGAAAATTCACCAAGTCCTGCCAGAATCAGATGGAAGCTCAAAAGATGTTTCTGTGTCTACCCTTTCCCACTGTCACTTCTCTGGTCCTGCCCTTGCAAATATAGAGTCCATGTCTCTAGACACATCTACTGTGGGCTTTATTCTCCCACCCACCCACCCACAGCCTGCAAGCTTCTCTCCATGATGACCAGGCCATAGAGGATACTGGGTGTAGTCCCCAAAAGGACCTGCTTGAAGGTCAAGCCCCTGCCGTAGCTCGCAACCCTGGTCAACCTACAGTGGTGGAATCTCAACTTTACCCAGCAGTGGCTCAATGGGCAGCCTCAATGGAAGCTCCAGTTTCCACCACAGAGGGAGTCCATGGACCAATGTTCAATACTTATATCCAACTTCTGAGCAGCACTGGCAACAGATGCATGAGAATCTAGTCACATGGGAGGACACACAGACGTGGAGTACATACTGCCTCCACACCCTGGACCAGTCCAAGCCAAAAGTCTTCATAGCAAGGAAGAGTTGTGGTGGTAATGTCATTGATCTCAAGATTTGTTAGAATGACTAATCTGTATTAGTTTCAGGCCAGTGTGGTCCATATACTCAAAAATTTCTTTCTTGAAAAAATACTGAGTCTTTCAAAAACAATCTAAACATTGATTAAGTATTGTGGCTTTAAATTTTAGTTAAATAAAAGTAGAATATATTTTCTGTCAAAAAAAAAAAAAAAGAAAAGACCCGGCCAAGAAAAGAAAAGAAATCCTCCCTCCAATAAGATGGAGACTCCCAGAGGTTCTCTAACTTACACACAGTGGCACTCACTCATGCACACAAATAATTAAGGAGGAGGAAAGGGCCAAAAAGTCACTAATGGATGACTGGAATCCACTCAGTTATTATCTCTGGGAAGTGAGGTCCCAGCATTTAAAAAAAAAAAAAATCTCTCCAAGTAATTTCAGCACAACTGTTTTATGAGGATTTCCCATCTCCTCTGACATGGACAGTAAATTCCCCTGTAAGGGGCTTTAGCTGTAGTCTTCAGAAAGCAGCACAAACCTGGAGTCAGGGCACTGAAACAATAGGAACAGCATACACTGAAAATGAGTACTGAGCCTGGCATCCTTCTAGTACCCCAGAGGCTGAGGCAGGAGGATTGCCAGAACCCCAATGCCAGCCTGGACTACACACTATGTTCTAGATGAACTTGTGAGACCCTGTCTCAAAGAAATAAACAGAAATACTGCTTGCCAGAAAGAGAGCAGATAAACAGTGCAGAAACAAAGACACTTGCAGGTTACCATTCTTCTTAGAGATTTTCTACCTCAACTGTTTTCTAAATCTCTAGTTTACATGTCACAATAGTTCAAGTGAGTAAGTGTATTTCAATACTAAGCAGTGTTTCACAAACCTTTTTTTTTAATTTTTAGATTTATTTATTATGTATACAACATTCCTTCCATGTATGCCTTAACCCCACTCTGGGGAAGCGGCAGGCAGAAGTCGAGCCTTGACCACAGGAGTCCCAAGTCAGCCTGGGCATGTATCTCAAATAATAAATTACATCTCAGCTGGGGGATGCAGGAACTAGATGTAATGTTAGCAAAAGGGGGGCTGGAAGAGGGGAGTCAAGAGCTGGATGTCAGGTATAATGTCTCAAAAAAGAACAAAAAACAGTAACAATAAGTAAATATTTCATCGTGTGTGGTGGACACTTTAATCCAAGTCCTTTTGAATCTGAGGTAAGCAGATCTCTGTGTTTGACATCAGTCTGTTCTACACACCAAGTTCTGAGCAGCCAGAGATATGGGGGAACACTCTGCCTCTAAATAAATAAAAATAATTTACATTTCAGAGTTTTCTTTCCTTCCTCCATTGACTAAGAAAAAAAAATCATGTCAGAAGTTGATCGTAGTACAAGCCTTTAAACCCAGCACTAAGGGGGACAGAAGCAGGCGGATCTCTTAGTTTGAGGCTTGTCTGGTCCATAGAGCAAATTCCAGGACAGCCGGGGCTATACAATAAACAAACAGCCAAAATAAGCAAGTCACGTGGGAAGTGACTGTGTCCTAGAGGGAAAAGGCTTCCCTCTGATGCCCAACCCAAGGGCATTGGCTTCCATTTCCAGGAGGGTCTTGTGATGCCCAACACGGACCCCCAGCAAACCGCCCGCGACCCCCGTAGCTTACTAGGCCTCGGATTGGAAGGACGTTGGAGGCTGGCGTGGCCACGCAGGGTCGTTCTCTGCCGGTTCGAAGTAGGCGTTCAGTGCTTTCTGAAAAGCAAAGGCACAGGGATGGAGGGCAAGCGCCGCCCACCTGGAAGGAGGGGAGAAAACAGAAACGCAAACCCACGTCCATCTGCCAGTCGTTCTCCGACAGGAAGGTGTGGGCCGTCGTGGTTTCGCATTTCGCCACCAACGCAAACCCCATGCACTGAAGCCGCCGCCTCTTCACCCGCTGGTCAATCTCCTCCTCGGTTTCCGCTGCTGCGGGAGCCGCCGCCGGCTCCGGCGCATCCGAGCCGCTCCCGGACGCCATCAGCACAGCATCTCCCGACGAGATCCGCTCCGCACGCCGCTTCCCGCGCGACAGGGAAAACAAACGCCGGGCTCTGCGCAGGCGTGCTGCGTGCGCGTGCTTCCGCATCAACCTTCCGGCGGAACTTAGGTCTTGGGCGAGTCTGCGCAGCAAGCGAGGCGCGGACGCGTGCTCCTGGGGGCGGGACCGGGGGGCGGGGTCAGGCTGCGCGTGCGCGCTGGTGCCCTAGCGGGTACAAAACTGAAGCGCCCGGGCTGTGAGGACTTGGGCAGCCGGAGCGCGCGACCCTTCGTCCAGAGCGCGCGCAGCACGGGCCGGGCGTGCGGGTTTGACCTTCCACGTCCTGGTGCTTTCCCAAGCGTCTCTTCCAGAGTTCCTTCCTCCAGAGCCCAGAATCTTGAGTTGCGTCCACGATGAGCAACTTGACCCAGACTCTACGGGACGCCATGAAGGTCGTGTTCAGAGTTCCCGGTTTTGATAGAGTTTTGGAAAAGGTATTGTCCGCAAAGCCTCTGGTGGAGAGGATGTATCTAATAAAACACCCGAGTTGGATTTTAGTCTATTTGGTAGAGTGTCTTATGAGCCCACCTTCGTGGCCTCTCAAACGCCCGAGAGTGCGTGAATTCTCTTCTAACCGTAAATAAGCATGACTTTGACACCCGTAGAGACGGGTTTGGTCCACTGGAGTAAGCCAAGAGAAAAGTCTTGGGTACAATCATTTAAGGGACGCTGGAGTACAGGACGAGTGTGTAGGGATTGTTTGTTTTAAGGCACGAAAGCGAAGTACGTTGAGGTACAGAAGTGAAGGACGGACTAGTTCCTATGTTATGTTTCTGCGTTTTGAGACTGGGTCTTACTCTGTAACACAGGTTGATAGATATTTTGATTCATGAACGTCTGCTTTTTACGATTAAGAAAGAATGCTTGGAATTTTGGAAAGAATTTGGGTGTGAGATTTAAATACTGATTAGCTACAGGTATTTGAAATCTTTCTCCTTGAACACTCCCCTCTTGGGTTTTTTTAACGGTGTACATAACGTATCAAGGCATTTGTCAAAAATAGGAAATAACACTTAAGTGGGCGTATTTAATGTTTATTTAAAGTCCAAAGACATCATTTGACAGTGACTTTTGGAAACATGATATTATCCAAAAAAGAATGTATTTATCTAAGAATAAATTTGAATTATTTTTTCTTAAATCTGCTGTGAGAATGGGTGAAACGATCTGGCTCAAGCGAGAAGAGAACATGAAACATGAACAAACCCACTTAGGAGTTTATTAGAGGGGAAAGTGCACACAAGCCTGGGAATGGTGTACTGAGAGAGAGCAAAGATGGCGCCTCCAGCTTTTAAAGGCTGCCTAGCACATGCGCACAGGGGGAAGATGTGACTAAATCACATGGTGATGACCGGCGACCCATGCCTTGTTCATGAGACAGGAGGAAGACGTGGCTATGTCACACAATGATGATGGGTGACCTGGAAGTGCAGCCTCATGGGTGGTTCAATAATTACATTCAACCCTTTTGTTTATTATAAAAAAATTTAGTGGTTTGAAGATCTTAATGGATGGGAATGGGGCGTTGTAAGGTCTCTCATGACTGCTTCACGCTGACTTTGTGGGTGTTGAAGAATTGGGATGTTTGACCACGTCCTGGGGTGAATGATTACTGCTGTATTTTCCAGGCTCTGAGGAACTGGTTGGCAGTTTTATGAGGCAGCTTGGACCTCATAAAATGCTGGAAAGGCAAAAATTACGTTTGGAAAAAATTTTAGATCCTAGAGTGATGGAGGAGTTAATTTCATTGGTTAATAAAGAAACTGCCTTGGCCCATTTGAAACTGCCAGCCCTTAGGTGGGTGGAGTAGACAGAACAGAATGCTGGGAGGAAGTGAGGCAATCGCCATGCCTCTCCTCTCTGGGTCAGATTCGATGGACCCGGCTGCCAGGTCAGACATGCTGAATCTTTCCTGGTAATACACAACTTCTTGGTGCTACACAGATTACTAGATATGGGTTAAGCAAGATATGAGAATTAGCCAATAAGAGCCTGAAACTAATGGGCCAGGCAGTGTTTAAAAGAATACAATTTGTGTGTTGTTATTTTGGGTGTAAAGCTAACCATGTGGGGACCGGGCGGGATGAAAAGCAGGCCTGCCCGCAGCTCCATCTATACTAGAGATTAACAGAGGAGAGTTCCCAAGATGGAAGATAGAGGGTTTTTTTTTCCCCCAGGGGTTCTCAAGACCAGGAATGACAAGGAAAGAATTAAACTATACTTATTCCAGGTGAGTCTGGTCTGTTTAGGTGGGTCCAATTGGCTCCCTGGAGCTTAACATCCAGAAAACACTGCTGCAGTCAATGATAAAACCTGTTATGTTAAAGTTTGTTTTGTGAGTTTTTGGAGTTTGGGGCTACAAACTCATTATTGTTTCTTACCGCCTGGGCTTTTGACACTCCTCTGGCTCTATGTTTAATGATGGTTCCTGTAATAACAGCTGGGTGGTTAACTAGAAATTTAAGAATGACATTGAACGCATATGGGAGAAAGAAGAAAAGGGAGAGTATGTGGAGTTTTGGGCACAAGAAGTTGAGTAAGGATGAGACTTTTATTTTTTTGGGAACTGGAGAAAGAGTGGCTGATCCTGGTGTCCTCTGGAACTTAAGGGAACAGGGCCATGTTTGAGTTACTGTATATGAGGGGGTATCTTGAGCTGAAAGGGTAAAAGGTTTAAGATGCGACAGGTGAATTCAATGAGGAAGTCCCTCGGTCTTGGCAGCTGTGGGAGTTACAAGAATTACTTTAAAGGGGCTCTGCCATTTAGGGGAAAGGGTCGAGGGGCATTGGTGTGGGGGAGAAAATAACACCTGATCCCCTATTTTAATCGGTAGTGGGCATGAATTAACATGGTTGAGGTAATGAGTGGTTGGTGAAATCCCATAATAGGGACATGAGTAACTGTCTGCCTTCCGTAGTTTCTGGATCTAAGTTAGTATACTGTAGCAGAGCTTTTATGAGGCATTCCAAAAATGCAGGATTTTTCTTCATATCTATTTATTTATTTATTTATTTATTTATTTATTTNAAAGCTACAGAGAAACCCTTTCTGGGGGGGGGGGGAGAAAGAAAGAAAGAAAGAAAGAAAGAAAGAAAGAAAGAAAGAAAGAAAGAAAGAAAGAAAGGAAGGAAGGAAGGAAGGAAGGAAGGAAGGAAAAAAGAATGTATTTATCTAAGATGAAATTTGAAAATTTGAATTATTTTTTAAATCTGCTGTGAGAATGGGGATGTGGCTAGCAGCGTGCTTGCCGGTTGGAGGTCCTCCATTGGTGGGGTCTATAAACATTTCCTCCTTAAACTGTCATCAACCTTGTGGCTATATAATATTTTGTAATATATTTTTTATTTTTCTTTTTTCGATTTAAACAAGGTCTCTCTATGTCGCTCTAGCTGTTCTTGAACTTGATGTGTAGACCAGGCTGGCCTGGAACTCACAGAGATCCATCTGCCTCTGCCTTTTGAGTATGGGGATTAACAGTATGTGCCACCACATCTGACTTTCATGTGTGAGATAATTTTGACATTAGTTTGATTGCCTTTGAGTAATTAGTTAAAATTCTCATAACTTAGTCCGGCATGATGGTGCCTGTCTCTAATTCCAGCTTAGGGGAGGCTGATGCAGGGGAGTTTGTAAGACTAGTCACATAACCATGCCACTTCGCAAAAAAGAACAGTTAACCTTTCTTAAAAAAAAAAAAAAAGTTGATTTTTTCAGTGCTTACTCTTTGAAAATCAATATAGATTTCGCATTTACACTATTGCTAGACACACTGCCAGAGCTCACTCAGTATTTTATAGGTAGCAGTGAATGGCTGTTAAGCCACACAGGTTGATAATAATCATTGTGTGATTGGTAACTTGATTTACAACAGGTAAGTGGTTATGTTTTATGTAGGCAGAGAAGCTCAGACTAAAGTATATATTTCTGTATAGCGGTTTGTATGTGTATATATGTGGTTTTTACGGTTTCCTTTGTTTTGTTTTTGAGACAGCATCCTGGCTTTTCTGGAACTTGAGTTTACCCTCCTTGCCTCTGTCTCCTGAGTGCTGGTATTACTCTTGTGGTTGTGTGCATATCATCACACCAATGTATTTCTGCTTAGTGGTTCATAAAAGATTCTTATACTTACTAGCTTTGCAAAAACTTTGACATCCTGGCCAGGTCTACCTACATTAGTCCCATTAAAAAAAAAAACTATTTAACACTTCATTTTAAATTCTGTATCCTCAAGGAGGCTGGGGATATAGCTCAGTTGGTAGAATGCTTGCCTCGCATGCACAAAGTCGTGGCTTACATCTCCAGCACCATGTTAAACCATATGTAATAGTACATACCTGTGATCCCAGCCGCACTCAGGAAGGAGGTAGACACAGATAGATAAGAAGTTCATCCTCAAGTTCATACCTACTTCAAAGCCAACCTAAACTACATGAGGCCTTGTCTCAAGATGAAAAGAAATTGTGTCCACATGAAACATATTTTCCTATCATGTGGATAGGATAGGAAAATTTCCTATCATATTTTCCTAACATATTTCCCTGGGGAGAAATGAACAAACACCTGCCCACATCTGTGAGTTTCTGAGATCACAGATGGCGCAAAGGCAACTGTGTCACTGAAAGCCCACCCCGGCATGAGCGGAAGCTCAGAATTGCTGCATCCCTGAAGCTCCATGCTTGCAAACAACCCAGCTAGCAGAGTGTCCTCCCTCTGGCCTTGCAAGTTTTGACTGCTTCCGAAAGGGAATCTCCATTTTTTTTTTTTCATTATAAATTCTCAAACTCCTAGGCAGCTTTGTAAATCCAGTTACTCGGCACACAGGTGGCATACCATATTTTTAGAGCTCAAACACACTACCACGTTTTGGCGAATGAACCTGAGCTTCACAATACATTCATACCAGAGCCTGCAGAAGAGCTTCCAGCCAGCTGCAGGACACAACTAGGCCTTTCTTTCCTTTTAAGAAGATTATTCCATTGTATAGAATAGTGTACTTTCTTTAAATACCCTCTTTACTGGGACATTTGAAATATGAAGAGTACTACAATAAATGAGCTTTAAGTGCTTACAACTTTCAAGGCTCCACAAGGAAGGCAGGAACACTCAAAAGAACCAGAAGTGCCTCTCCTAAGTTCCTGCCAGAGGCTTGGGTATTTTTGCCAGTCTTCTCTGGATGCCTCCTTTGCCAGACCTATCCGAGGACACAATTATAATAATTCATAGATTGTAGTTGGCCTTTTCAGTTCTAGAATTGAGTGCTCTTTATCCTATGAAGCAGACTGTTTTCTGAGAACTTTTTATGTATATTATTTTTTGAGAACTTTTTTAAAATTTTTTTTATTTTTATTTATTTATTAAAGATTTCTGATTCTTCCCCGCCACTGCCTCCCATTTCCCTCCCCTTCCCCCAATCAAGTCCCCCTCCCTCGTTAG